TATTATAAAGAGGTAAAGTTTGTGAGTTTGTTTGTAGGAAGTAATCTCTGGAACTACTGAACTGATTTAGATGAAATTTGGTAAGAAGATAGTTTAAAACCCTGGGGAGGACATAGGAAGAGTTTTTATTGCAGAAATCATTCCTTAACGGGGCAAAAATGGGGATGAAAGATTGTATTGGGAATCAACTTAAACTTAAGAAATTTATTTTAGATAATATTACATTTTTAGTTGAAACATTAATTTAAAACTTTCAATACATATATTGGAATCAAGCTTTACATGAAAATTTTGATTTATTTAATTCAAAAGGAACCAAACCAAACTTATTGGGCATGTTTTCACGGACACTTTTTGATGCACAGAAATAGTACTCCATTTCTACGCTCTATAACGACATAATCGTTGCAAGTCGTAGTGATATCTCTCGCATTAAATCTGTGCCCATCAGTGGGACTTCAAAAAAAAGACTGTGTGAGACTTCTAATCTCTTATTTTAGTTTATAATTATTTTATTAATTTAGCGTTATTTTAGGATCGGCTATAAATAAACTTGTAATTGCACAAATTATGAGTAAGTATTTTATATGTCCCCATATCCCCATTTTCACCCCCTTGACAAATGACTTCCGGGATAACAGTATTCTACGTATTTCCCAGGGTCTTAAGCTATCTTCTTATCAAATTTCATCTGAATTAGTGCCGTAGATCCAGAGATTACCCCCTACAACGTTACCAGCTTTACCTCTTTATAATATTAGTATAGAATATAGATAATATTCTTTTAGTTGAATAGGTATAAATAAGCCTTAGGCAAAATATTCCAGACGCGTCTTTATGCTCGTCTTTATTAAAACCGCTATTGGACTGAAATAAAAAGTAAAAGCTTTTTGTAATACTTCAAGTTGCCCGTAATATTTTTTATGTTTTTATTTCTACAATATCCCTAAATAGCTCTTAGATATATTCATGCTTTCATTTGGATAAGTAAGTTCTTTTAAAAAGAAATATGTGTATTATAATATATACATAGGTATATATAATTATAATATATAAATAGAAGAGAAATACCAATATTTTGTAATCGAGTCGTGAATAATTGGCAATAAAGCCCTTGAATGGCGCTTGGTGATTACCGGCGTAAAAGATAGATCAAAATTAAATGCTTTAACGTCGACAGGAAGGTTTCATATATTATTACGTTTAATAATATTATATTTAAGACTTTGGACTAAGACTAAATATTTTTACCTTACAATTATATCAAAATCATCTTTCACATTTTGTCTTATAAAGTTATAATCTTATATATCCAAGAAATTGTATATAGTTATACGTTGAGTATATAAAATACTGAAAGCAGAGTATCGTAACCGCCAGTAATATTAGGTAGAGTAGTGCGACATATCGACGACACGTTTGGCTCAGTTTGTAGTGACCCTACTTGCTGTGTCAGCGGTGGCGGGTTCGAGTCCCGCTGGGGGCATTCATTTGTGTGATAAGCACGAATGTCTGTATTCCAGTCATGGGTGTTTATATTTACAATATGTATGTATTTAAAGTTATCTATGTGTAGAGTATCAACTACCTGGTATCCATAACACAAGCCTCGTAGCTTACCATGGAACTAGATAGTGCTGTGTTAATGTCCCAACATATCTATACATTATATGTACATTGTACATATGTGTAACCACAGATCATATAAAACTACAACGGTCATAATTGTTTTGTACCGGATGCCGTAAGATTAACTTCATTCTAATATTTACAAATTCAATGCTTTCTAATTTCAATCATGCTACTAATGTTATAACTGATATGTCTGTTTGTCCATATTATTTGTTATACTTATTTGTATACAGTATACTTAGTGTTAACCAAATATCGATCAATTAAGTGAACATATGTGAGAGAATAATTATACTAATAATAAAAAAATAACTTTCTAATTTCCTAAGTGAAATGATTAAAAATTACGAAAAATTACAAAGAGAGTCGTGTGCAACACAACTCTTAGGCATAAACACCCATGATTCACTGCATGATTTAAGAACGCAAGTGAGCACTTACCCACTAATCAGCTGCTATAATGACCTATAATCCTTCTTTATATATGAAGGTTTATGAACGTAACGTATACTTGTTTATGAACGTAAAAATATTTTCGTTGAGTTTGATCATCATGCAAAATACTGTTTTAATCGTAAATCTAAATTAACGCTCAATTTATTGTTAAGCGATCTTTTTTAATGTTTAACAAGTAGTATCAAAATACAAAAAAATATTTTGAAAAATATTCAAACAACAGACTTTGTTTGAATAATATTGTTTAAACTTTAACGCACTAACCTCTGTGTTGTCATGTGGAAGATTTTAGATTAGTGCGTCAATTCTTTACACCATTAAGGCTCTATGGATTGGAATGAAATTCAGATTGAAAATAAAACCATAAATAATATGCTCTAGCATATTCTTTATATATTTTTTTCAACAACAACAACATAGCTATGATATATACAGCCATAGGCACAAACTAGAACGTAATATAGTTCAAAAGTACTGATGTAAAAGCCGGACTTCACGGAATTCTTCGAAACACGGGCTTGAAAAAGATTAATTATAGCATAAAATATATATACACTAGATTTATTGAAGCTTATAATACTCGTATTATAAAGGCGTTCGTGGTGTGTTGTAAAAGGTTATATATGATGTAAGAGTAACATATAAAAACGCTTTATAGTCACAGTTTCTATTTAACACGTGATCCATCCAAGCGTTTGAATGCTTATAAATAGGATCTTAACTATAAACGTAGTTTAATATAATTTTCATAATATACAAAAAATAAAATGGTTAAATTTATTTCTTTCTATGATTTTTTGAGTTCCAAACTGAAGGACGTATATGTTTTTTTTTTATTGTTTATTTTGTTGTAAAACTAAGTTACGCTAATGCTGTATTTATAATATAGTGCAAACAAAAATGCATTTACTATTCATGTCATTCTCGTACTCTGATGGGACTAAAATTTGAAACGACCAGTGAGAGATCAGGCGCAGGATCGACGGCTTTACGTGCACACTGAGGCATAGAGAAACACTGCCAACTTCTCAACTCCGAGCTGGTTTAAAAGACTTTCTCAGAAAGTCTCAATAACTAAACTTGATCTGATCGGGACCTCCGCATCTGCAGCCGTACGCTAGCCACTAGACCACGATGTTGTATCGATATGGAAAGCCACACAATTTCCATCCTTGATCAAAATAGAAGAATGTAAAAATAATAAGAATTATATTTTCTTAATTCCTATTACATTTCAAGTTTCTTTAAATGGACATTTCACAACACTTTGTTTGGACATAAATTTGCATTTGAATTATTTGTTGCGAATTTAATTAAACAATCACCTGCCAAAGTGGCATAAACAGTTCATAAAATCAAGAGTGAAGAGATACCTCCTCCTTTTTGAAGTCGGTTGAAAATCAAGAGTGAATATACATATAATAAAATTGTAACCAAGCTGAATCTGTACATTAAATATTTTTTGGAAAATCTTATTGAAATAAACATTATTATCGAAACAGAGTTTTTAGAATTTTTTCCTGTCTGTCTGTCTGTTACCGCATCACAAAAAACCTACTGGACGGATTTTGATGAAATTTGGTATAGTTATAGCTGATTACCCGGGTCAACATATAGGATACTTTTTACCGCGGAAACATATCTCATTTCTGAGAAAAAAATACAAGAACTGCAATGTAAGAGTATACTAATATGTAAAACCTAAGAATTTGGTTTTTGGTCATCTGAACGCGGACGGAGCCGCGGGCAATGCTAGTCTTAATATAAACTAGTAACTACATAATGTGCCGCCACCTACAACAGTGCTCAATGGGAAATTACTCAGTACTTGTCTACACGAATAATTTCCGTTATAACGCTCGTATTTTCTTTACAGTAAATAGATTTAGTTTAAACAATATTAAAGTTATAAATTCATATGTAAATGTATTGATTTAATCTTCTTTATCTACAACACGTTTGTTCTTATAGTGTGACTGACTGATAGAAAAGTTAATATATCCTAAGCCATAGATAGCATTATACGCAATATTCACTCCTTAGTATACGTACCTTCTAGAACGGTGTGTACAATAAATTTATTTTAGTCTAAAGACGTTGAAAATACTTGTTAAAATGACAAAATAATCACTTAAAATACTAGAAAAACTGGTAAAACGAAAAAAGATTAGTATAGGAAATTCATTTTAAGCTTCAAAGTGACAATGTAAAGATAACACATGAATGTTATAGGAAAATTATGGTTACTACTGTATACATTAACTAAACTACTACGTAAAATTTCTTATTATATATGTACATATAACTTATACATATTCAACTTAATAAATAAAAAAAAATATTTGGAATCGAAATCAAATAGTCTCCTTTTTAAGTACTACCTACATCCATACTAATATTATAATTAATGTGAAAGTGTGTTTGTTTGTTTTTTTGTTTGTTTGTCTTTCTTTCACGTCGAAACGGAGTGACGGATTGACGTGATTTTTTGTGTGGAGATAGTTGGAGTGCTGGAGAGTGACATAGGCTACTTTTTACCGCGGGAGATTAACTCTTTCCTACGGGAAAACACGTTATAATACAATCCAAAAAATATTTGTGATCAGAATTACTTGAAACTTCGTATTAATGCTCTTCAATATAATTAAATGAATACGTATTATAGAATTTTTCGAAATGCACCCCATAATTGGGTAAAATAGGGGATGAAAGTTTGTATGAAAGCGAAGCTGCGGGCTCTGCTAGTATATAATAAAGTAAACACATTTTGCTAAGTTTATTACCATTCACCATAACATTGAAAAGAGTAATTTTTAAGAAAAAAAATATATATACAATGCCTAAGAAACGTATATTAAAGCAAAGCTGCAGGCTATATATAATGATAAAAATATTCTATATAATATACTCACCCACACTCGCGTCTTGAGATTCCTGTAACAAAGAAAATGCAAATGAAAATCAGCGTCTACAGCGTCATCGTACAAAATAAACTCTCATTACGCAGAAGCCGGCAATTCATAATTATTACAGAAATGATCGAGGCGATGAAACATTATAATGTTATTTTTTAAAACTTTGCTTATAAATTACATATTTATTTTGAACAAGTTATAGTAAAAGTACATATTTAAGAAATTTAATGAATCTTACTTTATATAATTTTTATTTCTTATTAGCGACTCACCCTCGCTCCGCTCGGGTTCGTCCTTAGGGTGGACGACCCTTATCACTTAGGGGTGTGAAAAATAGTTTACGTCCTATAGTCAGACCTACTGAATATACACATAAAATTTCATACGAATCGGTCAAGCTGTTTCGTAGGAGTTTTGTTACAAACACTGTGACACGAGAATTTTGTATATTAAGAGATTTATGTCGTATTTTTTCATTATATTTGTACTATTTATTGCATTACTATATAATTTAGAAAGTAATAAAATGATATCTATATATGTTCTAATCAGAAAAATTAAAAGTTATAGCTTAGCATATCTATTGTTATACAGAAAAAAACGATCTACATATTAAGTTTAATACTTTACATTATAAAATATTTGTATTAAGTTGTCCAATGTCAACATTTTTCGTAAGAAAAGTAAACAAATCTAACTAGCTGATCCAACAGATCTCTTTCTGTTAAATCAGGTGTGTAGGTATGAACCTAGCAGGCCCGATTAGAAAAATGGTGCTTTTACGTGGTATGGTATGGTATTTTTTTAATTTTTCCTTTCATAAGAACCTTCCTCGGACATTAACGAATATTTGAATAAAAAAATAGCCCAAATTAGTCTGGTTGTTCTCGAGTTTTGCGCTTAGCAACACATTTAGTTATTCACTTTCATTAATATAGATTATGAACCTTTCCATATTAGATAGTATGAAATTCGATCTCCTTTTAAAATATCATTAAGACTTGCATAGAGCTGCTTAAGAGTTATATTTTTATAAAATAATAAAACGTAACAAATATCAAAATTTCAAATTTAATCATAGTATCTATCGTACGTATATTTAAACATAAGCGTACTTTGAAACTTGAGTAATATAACAGTTACAGAACGTGATTAATTTAATTAAATGTAAAGTTAGCGAACGAGATATAGCAGCTGTTGTAGTAGGTAATATAATTAAATTTTCGACAAAATATGTATATTATATAAGAGAGCCATGCAGTTGACATTAATGTTCGAGAGTTCAATAACTTTAAAACCTCAAAGGACTTTAAAATTAAAATTGTCGTTCTTTTGCTCTTAATCGTCATACATTTAATCTACACTTATATTATTATTTATAAAGCTCAAGTGAGTGGAGCTAGGAAAAAATATGTATGATACAGCTACTAGCTTTAGAAAAAATTGTTTCAATCAGACTTGTGTATCCATAGATTGTGCCTTCATAGAAAAAAAAACGTGCGTGTGTACTTATGTACGCACGTAAAAAGTTATACCTACTTGTTTGGCGTAACAGAACAAAAATAGCTATAGATTTCATCCCGTATGTCAAACTCTGTTTGTAAAAGGAATGAAGCTAACTTCATGATGTCGCTTTCTGGCTGTCGGTGTGCGTGCGCATCGTAAAAATTTTCTCTCATATTTTTTTCCAAACGTGCGAGAAGAAGTATAACTTCAAAAAACAGAAATCCTATAGCTTTAGAGTTTAGATAATATTAGTATAGACTATACAAGATAGATTGGTTCTACCAAAACCAAAATAATACAGTATTATATGGTATATCAAATACTAATAAAGTAACTTATAAAAAGTTATACATATATTAAAAACTTTGTCAATCTACGTAGCATAAATATAAAGGTCAATTATTTATACCCAGTTCTAAACATCGATAATATATTAACATAGCAATATCGATATTCAATACGAATATTGTATAGATAAGCAATATATCAAAATATAAGTTGACAACCGTAAAAGGAAAGGGATTTAATAGATTCTCGTTGTCGAGTTGAAATTTGGGATAATTACATCTTGTCGACAGGATTAAATAGAGTTCGAGTCGACTGATTAATATGGTTATTGAAAAATTGCGATGCTATTTCGGTATCAAGTATGATAAAAATAGCGGTTAATCCATTCATATAATAAAATTGTAATCAAGCCGAATCTGTGCATTAAATATTTTTTGGAAAATCTTATTGAAATAAACATTATTATCGATACAGAGGCCGTATCTATAGTTTTTAGATTTTTTTCTGTCTGTCTGTCTGTCTGTCAGTTACCGCATCACACAAAAACCACTGGAGGGATTTTGATGAAATTTGGTACGATAATACCTAGTTATCCCGGTCAACATATAGGATACTTTTTACCGCGGGAAAATATCTCATTTCTGAGAACAAATACAAAAACTGCAATGTAAGAGTATGCTAATATGTAAAACCTAAGAATTTGGTTTTTGGTCATCTAAACGCGGGCGGAGCCGCGGGCTAAGCTAGTATAACTAATATAAATAATGATCGCATCCATGTCGTTAAAGCATAGATAATAATTTTTAATAGTTTCTCCACTATATATATATATATATATATATATATATATATATATATATATATATATATATATATATTAATTCCACTATATTATTATGCTGGCATTCAACACCTTGTTGCATATCGATCTAGACTAAATATTATTCTTCGCGACGCTTTCATAACCTTAAAGAATATTAGATACTGGCGACTTACCCTCGCTTCGCTTTTCCCTTGCGTGCTTATGTGCCTAACAGTAAGTAGTCTAAAATTTTACAAAATTTCATCCAAATTCGTCCAGCTGTATCAGCGAGAAATATAATCTTACATATTTATACATAGGTATATAGTAGTACGATGAAACCTAACTAAAAAAAATCATTTAATACAATTATATTGCCAATCAAAAAATAATTAAATTAATTGAGTTTTTTTTATTTTATAGGAATCTTTTACAGCATTTTCTTTCTATACGCGTTCCAACGTCCTATAAAACTTGCAATAATTAAAATACATCCCCGTATAACTTTCAGATAAGATCTGATTAAATAAAATATATACATATGGATATATATATCAACATTCTATGCAGCCTTTTTCTTAACGTCTCATTGCTGAGCACAGGTCTCCCTTTATTTGAAGGGGGATCAGGCCCATAGTCATATACGAGAAGATCTTGAAGCTAACCTTTTTTTTTTTAATTTAAGATTTACTTAGGGCTTTACAAGCCATGTACGACAGACAAGGTTAATAACAGAGTTTTATTATCATAAATATTAATTTTCGCTCAAAGTATTAAAAAATATAATTAAATCTTAATTGCTATATCAGAATTAAATTTGTTGGAAATATTCGTGCACAAATTAACGTGATTAACAGAATTATAACATGACATATCCTTAAGTTTTATAAAATGACTACCAAATGATCTAATGTAGGTCAAATTAGTTTATGCATGCCCTAAAATGTAGAGCTGTTGTGGAGCTGAAAGTATCGATCAAACATCTATCTGTCATATATATTTCAGAATCGCTTTATCTGATAAAAATAAGCCAATTGCTCACTAATATCATAAATATCATATTTTCCCGCTTAACTAAATATTGTTTATACAGTACTAGAATAACGATAAAAATCGGCAAGTATCTACTCCAAGAACGTAGAGTGCAGAAGAATTGTAGATAAACTTTCATATACATAAATAAAAACTTAATTATGTGCTATCAAAATACTAATGCAAAGTATTTCATAATTTTAATATTCTAAAATATTTCAGTACAAATCGATTTCCTGACATTATCATAATACTTACCTATTTTAATATTTAATTAAAGTTTGTAACCTTACCTTACAAAAAACAGTGAGTTTGAAAAATGAGATAAGCATGCGAGGTGTTTGAATAACGTGTTGAAGATTATTTAAGACAGAATTGCTATCGAAGAAGCTATTTTGCACTCTATAGCAGCTCTACTCCTATAATAACACTTACCGCCCTATCATTTCCACACATAGCTTCCTTACCGGGATAAATATACATGAATACTTACAAATTTGCTTTTCTCTTTCTCTTTCAGTTTTAACTCAGCCTCTTTTTTTGCTTGGTGTATGAGTTCGTCCACAAATTCGGTGGCCTGACGCAATTTTTCTGGGTCACCCTTGAACTCATCTATCCTTTCGTTCAAAGCAGCTGTCTCCGAGTCCTCTCTCATTTTGATAGCCTTACTATGATAGTAAAAATGTCTCACAGGTGGTTTTATTCACAACAGCGATAGAACGCAGGCGTCACAAAAGAGTATAAACAATGTTTGGTATTCACAACATTGGTTGAGTTATAGTTTAGAGAATATTTTTGGATATGCCCACTTCTTAGAGCCTTGGCGGGAGTTGAAAGGAATCAGTCATAGCTGATTTTCCGCCGCTCAAACGATTGTCAATGCGTATGCTAGCTACTGTGTTTCCGGAGGTACTAACAGTCTGGCTGGGCCGTTTCTCGCTCATGCGCTAACGAGCGGGTGTACGGTCCGTGTGGTAATAGATAGATATTTTAGAGACTTCAGATTAACCCTAATCACTAGCCATAAACTGTGAGAGCACTCCGAGCTAAAGACTGATAGAGCTGCTTCATTGTAAACAGGTGTTCAAACCTTTTAGTCTTCTATTTAGCTAGTTGTTAAATTTTCATGCAAACTTAGTTTAAAATATTACTTATATAAAATATCGATACGATGATAATTATATTTATATTATTTTCTTACTTAGTTTAAAATAATCTACGACAATAGTTGATTTTAATCGAATTTCTTTACCATTGTTATATAAAAATACATTGTTTATCAAGATTTCTTAATTGGTTATCAAGTTGTTGAGATATAATAGCCTGAAATAGGATAGGTAGATACAAGGTATGGGAGATCTTTATCAAGCAGGCATATCCCACACAAGGAGGAAAAATAACGATACTTATCAAAACTATGAAATAGTAATGATAAGGTATGACACAATATTTGATTAGTATAGCTAAGTAAGAAAATAACTAAATGTTAAAATCAACATTTAAAAGAAATATAATTATAGGAAAAAAGTAAATTTAATATATTATAATTTTATTGCATATCCAATACAAACATACAAATAATGATATCTATACATATAATAAAATTGTAACTAAGCCGAATCTGTACATTCATTTTTTTTGGAAAATCTTATTGAAATAGACTTTATTATCGATACAGAGGCCGAATCTATAGTTTATAGTCTGTCTGTCTGTTACCGCATCACGGGAAAACCACTGGATAGATTTTGATGAAATTTGGTATGGTGATAGCTGGTTATCCGGGTCAACATATACGATACTTTTTACCGCGGCAAAATATCTCATTTCTGAGAAAAAATACAAAAAGTGAATTGTAAGAGTATACTAATATGTAAAACCTAAGAATTTGGTTTTTGGTCATCTGAACGCGGGCGAAGCCGCGGGCAATGCTAGTCGCTAAATAATTTAGTAGTTCGTATATATATATATGCAAGTAGAAGACACTCGTACGTACGTCTTACACAATTTTCCTTGACACCGCCTTCACGTGCAGGCGTATGAATAAAACATACATGCGTATTGTATGAAAAATTGCGGTAAACTATTGAATAATGAATATGTCTCGGTGAATACGGAATGATACCGATAGTTGAGATATTCTGAAAATTATAGTAAAAATTGGTAGATGGTATATATTTTTGTATTGTACTGCTAAATAAGCAAAATTATTTTTTTTGGGAACTTCAAAAAATAGGATCACTGTTGTTATCCTGTAACTATAGTTAGAAATCTACTGGGACGTAAAAGTAATATTTTGATTCGGGTAATCGTATGCTATATAATCCATAACAGTCATAAAATTCCTATAAAGCCTAAAAGTTTTACCGATTGTAGGTAAGTACGTTATCATAAAAATATGAAATAAATATTATTTCTTTAATATTAAAATATTTAATATATATACAGTTACCACAACCAAATTTAGACTTCTTATTAGCCATGATTCAACTGTTAGTGATGTCCTAAATCTTAACAAGTAACACGCGTTTCCTTTTCAACCCTAAGATTACTGTGGAGAATTAAAAGGACGAGGGGAAAATAATCCCTTATAATTATAACCTCCGACAGGCGTGAAATTAAACCTGAGGGTGCTTTTAATTTATATCTTCAAATGAGAAAAAGTATGATTAAGTACAGTGCCTATTATAATAAGCTTCTATCTGCTTTACATGCACATGTTGTTTCGAACCCCTAAACTTGCCCTTTATTTTTTTAGGCACTGTACATACCTACATATTTTATATGGAGGTTGTCCGTATTGCAATTAAAAAACAAAAGGAAAAGTCGAGATCATTAACTTATATACATAATTAGACAAACTTACGTTAAAAAAACTTTATTGAAATCTGTCCAGCCATTAAATACATACATACAATCTCTGAACGAGGCAATACATACGGACAAAGTTACAACGGGAAGTAAGTAAGCCTTTCTTTCTTATATAGACGTAAAAGTGTACCTACGTCTTCTCGACGATACCAATGAACCAAAAAAAATTGCAAGCTTTCATTCTAGGGACGGTGTTCTTATAGTTTTACTAAAATGTCTAATAGACACAATAGACCTTATAGGTACTTTCGGAAATTTAATTTTTTATAATTGTTATTTTAATGAATAGCTTATTATTATGAAAAACTGAAGCATATAAGCAAGTCCCATATAAATAAAAAAAAATAAAAGCGGTCAGGGAAACTCCGTCAAGAACAAAGTTCCTCGCACCTTTTCTTCAATTCCGAATGTAATTTGATATACAGTTTCTATTGGGATACTCCACTGATATACCACTTACCTAAGCATGGGAACTCTGAGAGGCACGGAAAACTTAAATGTATATATGTAAATAGTAGATATATAAATAACTAGCAGAACCCGCGGCTTTGCTCGCACTAAACCACAACAAAAACTCTAAAAAGGTAGGTTTCATATAAACTTTCATGCGGTCCCCCTTAACCCCCGAAACCCCCTTATGGGATGAATTTCGAAAAATGCTAAAACACGTATATATTTTTTGGATTGAAGGGCACTAATACTAAGTTTCAAGTAATTCTGACCATAAATATTTTTTGGGTTGTCTTATAACGTGTTTTCCCGTGGAAATGAGATGATCTCCCGCGGCAAAAAGTAGCCTAAGTCACTCTACAGCATTCCAACTATCTCCACACAAAAAATCACGCCAATCCGTCACTCCGTTTCGACGTGAACGAAGGACAAACAAACAAACAAAAAAACAAGCAAACAAACACACACACTTTCACATTTATAATATTATTATGGAAGTATGGATTACAGAACTCTACAAAAAAATTGTCTGTCCTAAAATTTACTTTATGTTGTTTCTATTTATTATGTAAATCATAATAAAGGAAAAATACCCATATTCCTTGAAAAGTTTGCCTTTGTGGTAATTATCCTTTTTCTCGAGTTCAAAAAGCTCAATAGTTCAGGTTTTTTTGTTAAATACCGCGGATTCATTCAATTCAAAAGAACAAGGAGAACGTTTTTATCAAGACATTTCATAACATGAACTTCGAACACCCTTATCGGAGCCAATACAACGAAAACGCGATGGGATTTTTTTTTATTTTTATTTAAAATTTTATCACATTTTTTAAAACACTAATCTAAACACTAACAGCGCAACAAAAACCATGTATGATTTTCCCGTGCACTGCGGATTCATGCGCGGTAGTTAATTAAACATAAATCTATTAAAAACAGGTAAGAATATCACCAACTTACTTGCGTTGTTTATATTTTTTCGAGACGGCAGTGGCTTGTCACTGCACTAGCGTATAACTGGTTTGTAATACAACTGTCTATACAGGCTGCTCAAGATAAAACTTTTTTAATATATTTTTAATATTTTTTTCGGTAATTTTATCTTTTAATGTTTTATATAGTTTATTAATTAAAGAAGGGATTACATATTCCAGTACCCGTTTTCCATAATTATTTGTATATTTAGGAATTTCTAATTTATTATTTATATTGCTTCTTAGAAAATGTTTTCCATTGTTTTTGATTTCTTGTAGTTTTGTATTAAAATATTGTTCTTTCAGTAACAAGTAATGAATTCTATTGTGTACCGGCATTACTTTGCAATAGCTAAATAACCCATGATCGTTATCTTTGTACGAATGTATAATTTTTTTAGGTACAATTGTTTTTATGAGTCTTAACTGTAAGTTGTATATTTGATCAATATGAGTTTTATATGTAAGACCGTAACTGCTTAGTCCGTACGAAATTATTGACTCACCCAATGTTCTATACATCATGAGCAATATTGGGATTTGGGGCTTAGTGAGAGAAAGTACTTATAAACATAAAAGAAAACGTAAAAGGGGTCACTTTTAAACTTTTTTCTACTATTTTGTAATTTTTTGTAATTGTTTGTAATTTGATATATTAAAATTTAATAAAAATGTATATATAGGTAAGTACATATATTTTTTCGATTTATTTATAAATAAAAATTTAAACTATGGATTTTCTAAAATATTGAGCAACCGTTCTCTTAGAGCAAAAGCAAACTTTTTCAAGCCGTTTATAACATTAGTAAGAAGTAAGATAAGATTCATATAGGTACGTTTTTAATAGATAAAATAAGTAGATATTGTGACCTTAGAAGCTAGACACATGCAACTGCAGACTTTTCTTTTTACTGCAGACTTTATAGGCCTTTTTAAGACCTAGAGTTTTCCAGTATATTGTTTTAATGTATCTCTTAAGCTTTAACCAACTTAGGCCATGTAAGCGTACGAAAAAAGATTTTTCATACGAATCATCTTCATAGTTCAGCTATTGTGTACAAAATATCTACAAATTACATACACAAACTTACCTTGTTTATCGCTCTTTCTGTAAGTAATAACAATACCAAAAATTCGTTGTTCTAAACCACAAGTCTAAGTAAATGGGGAAACAGACAGATTCAAACTATATTAGAAAATATTTTATAGATATAAATGAGAGACTGGCATAATAACTAAATTTTCCACTTTCCCATGAAAATGAAGGATTTTACAGCGCTTAATCGTTAACTACGAAAATTGTTAGCCCTGCTACTAAGAGTTTTATGTAATAAAATGACATACAGACAAACAGACAAAAAATTCAACAACTATGGTTTTGGGGTCTATATTTTGTACACAATACATAACAGGCATTGTTTTTAAAAAATATTTAATGTCCAGTTTGAAATTTAGATTTTTACTATTTTGGTACAGATACCTATAGATTTGTACATAATGACAATAACCTTCAGATTATCACAATTTACATAAACGGTCAAACTTCTTTAGCTAACATGGTTGGCACGAAATATAAATTTTTTTGTTAGTATAACTATTATTGTAAACAGTCTGTTTATAAGAATTTTTTTTAGTAAAAAACAAAGCTTATGACTGCACATATTATGTTATTATTTTAACATTATAAAGGTATTTTTCTTATATATGAAAAACGAGAAAAGTTTAATGTAAGGACTATATGCATAAAACGCGTTAATCCATTGCTATTTTGCCGTATAACACACAAAAAGACGATCTAAGAAACACATTTTCGCATTTATAGTATTAGAATATTTTGATAGTGATGATAACATGAGGTCTCAATATAAATATAATACATATCCATACTAATATTATAAATGTTATAGTGTGTTTGTTTGTTTGTCCTTCTTTCACGTCGAAACCGATCGACGGATAGGCGTGATTTTTTGTGTGAAGATAGTTGGAGGGCTGGAGAGCGACATAGGCTACTTTTTACCGCGGGAGACTACCTAATACCCATGAGAAAACACGTTATAATACAATCCAAAAAATATATTATTAGAATGACTTGAAAGTTGGTATTAATTCTCTTCAATAAAATTAAAAAAATACTTATTTTAGCATTTCTCAAAATTCATCCTGTAAGGGAGTAAAATAGGGGATAAAAGTTTGTATGAGATTGCCTTTTTAGTTTTATTTTTTGTAGCGAGCGAAGCCGCGGGTTCTGCTAGTTCATTATAATTTACGACGAATTTTCATCACACCATTATATTATTTATTAGACATTTACTTCACGCTGTTAGGGCTTAATGACTGAGTGAAATTCAAAAATTCTTACAAGATTTATTGCATTAATCGATATAAAGAAGCATGGTTTATTTAAGAAATGAAATATCACGGACTTACAATAAATGTTATTTAATTATTTTCTGATCAGGAGGGCAAAGAGAATCCTTTTCTTGTGAAGGTGTCGGTGGACTTGAACTCTCTGGCTCACATTCATAATAACAATGACCATCCCACCACCAAGCAGAGCCTGGTGTCGGTGCAAAGTTGAAACAAATCTGAAAGCATACTAACAGTAAGAAAAAAATAGGTAGGTACCTAGTACAAAAAATATGTGCCTAAATTAATTAGAGGTCATGATAACGTCAAGAATAAACTAAGGGAAAAAATAATATTATAATTAATAATCATATATAGGTACAATACAATACATATATAGGTATGTAATATGTACAATATATAACAAACTCATATGTTCAGTTAATACTTTCTTAGATTTATGCGAATATTTGACATTTTAAATAAAACTACCTTTTCGGATTTTGTCGCGGATTTATTTAATTCGATCATGGTCACGGGAGAGACTCTCATGATTGTTGTCAAAATGTCGCTGCATTCGAAACGTCGCGTCGGGAACCAAAATTCTAAATAAATCCGCAAAAATAATTTTATTTAAAATGTCATATTATGTTCAGTGTTCAAATTCTATAAAATATACTGCAATAATACTTTCAACATTGACTAGACGCGTTTATTTTTACTACAGCAAGATAACCAAATCGAATAATCGTTGCATTTTGATTTATAAAAGGCGTTATGAACTACATTTTACAATTAATATTAATAAATTTAATCACGGAAGAGTAAAAACTTTTTTTTCTTCCGTGAATTTAGTCATATTATTCTTATTATAAAAATTGATTTATCATAACTTACAGCATCAGGACGCATTGCTCCGCTAGGTGTTCCCTTTCTAACTTGATCTTTCTTTAATGGCGGTCCTTCTGCAACGGGCGCTACTATTGGAGGGTAAACTGAATTAAAAGCATTTCTTTGAAAGTAATATTTATCAGAATATTTTGTATCAGGGCCTCGTGGTATGTTAGCTGGTGGTAACGTTCGAGGAGCTACCATGGGTGGAAAGCGACCATGTAAAGTATGCTTCCTCCCTAGTAGAAAATCTCTTAATTTTTGAAGACCGTAAGATATGTCTCTAAATTTAAACTTTGCATTCACCATCTATTAGGGATTTGCGTAGAATTAGTAAGTGAATATTCTTACTCAAAAAATTAAAACAAAATCTGTTGATGTCAAATGACAGCAATGATTTATTTCTTTTTTTTTATAAATGGTTTTTGATTAAAACAAAATTTGAAAATAGTTCAATCATTTATTTAAAAATCCGTGGCAATAAAACGGGTGCTGTCTGTAAACATAGCCAGGATCGCCCAAGCCACTACGTTCACATTGATAGACCACAAATCCTCGCAAAAGAAAATCGATATCGCCCTAGGATGATTCGCGAAGCTATTTAAATAAAAAAATATCCAAACTTCAAAGAATATGGCTGGGTACTATTCGTCGTCGTGTGATCTTGTTATTATTATAATAAAATCGATTGACAAAATTAAACATACCAGACAGTCTTATGTGGTAAGTGGTTCTTACTATGCGGATCAAAATATCATTATTTTACATTAATATTATTCATTTATCTATTAATAATCTAACAATAGTGTTATTTTGATAAACAAACTAAATTAAAATTATTATTCTTAATTTTCTAAACTTTTTAAAATTATATGTAGAACAATGATTTTGGCTCGAATATTTAATATTTTATTTTCTTTATATTTATAAATATAATAATAGCAACACTAAATAAGATTACTTTCGAGTTTCGCGACATTCGTTACCTACCCTACCCCAGCCTGCAAATTTATGATATTTGCAATGAAAAAAATACTAATCGATAGATTTTCAATAGCTCAATTTAACTACGTAGCCCTTTCAAATTGCTCACCTTTAATTATTTAATTAAAAATCAATAAAGTCTTTGAAAAAAAATTAATTTATCTGTATATTCAAACTCCTATATCTTTTGATGTATACAATATTTCAAATTGCTCAAAGTTCTAAAACACTGCTCAAGTTGCATTTGTAATTGCTCAAGTAGAGTTTTTACCAGCTCCACTTTCGCTGATTATTAAATAATTAAAAGTATAGTTGTAATAAATGTAACGTAGGTTAAGTGAGCGTGCGCATGCGCACCGCGCATTGTCGGTCGGCCTCGGCGGGCTTGGACAATCGTTCCAATTCAACGTCTTAATTTTTTTTTTTTTTTATAGAAAACAGGGGCAAACGAGCAAACGATCCACCTGATGGTAAGTGGCTATCGTCGCTCATGGACATCTGCAACACAAGAGGAGTTGCGAATGCGTTGCCGGCCTTTAAGGGACCTATAGACATTACTCTTGAAGAGCCCCATATTATAGCGCTCAGGGAATACCTCGGGAGGAAGATCATTCCACATCTTGCACGTGCGAGGTAAAAAAGATCGAGACGCACGTACATTTGTAGAATGCCAAGCATCTAAAATGTGTGGATGACATCCTACCCGACGGCGAAGGGTGCGATGATAGAAGCGCGACGGTGGCACCATGTCAAAAAGTTCATCAGAACACTCTCCATTGTATAGACGATAGAGAACACACAGAGAGCCAACATCTCTCCGAAGGCTTAGAGTGTCTAAGTCGTCTGTGAGTACGGGATCGTTGACAATACGAACTGCCCGGCGTTGGATAGAGTCAAATGGAAGAAGCTGGTATTGGGGGGCGCCGGCCCAGAGATGAGAACAGTACTCCATGAGAGGGCGAACCTGTGCTTTATAAAGCAAAAGTCGCTGCCCTGACGTGAAATACTGTTTCGCTCTGTTAAGGACACCCATTTTTTTGGAAGCCAATTTGGCTTTTTCTTCCAGATGATAATTCTGTTTCTCGGTGGATTTCTTTAAATTTATTGAATTTATGAATTGTTCACATTACGTGATTCCACTTCAGATAATATTATAATAATAAATAAATAAATTTATTCAAACTATTTATATTCATTTAATAATTAAGGAAAGTGGAGCTGGTGAGAACTCTACTTGAGCAATTACAAATGCAACTTGAGCAGTATTTTAGAACTTTGAGCAATTTAAAATATTGTATATATCAAAAGATATAGAAATTTGAATATACGGATAAATGAATTTTTTTTCAAGGACTTTATTGATTTTTAATTTTATAATTAATGGTGAGCAATTTGGAAGGGCTACGTAGTTGAATTGAGCTATTAAGAATCTATCGATTAGTATTTATTCGCAATGAAAAAAATACTAATCGATAGATTTTTAATAGCTCAATTCAACTACGTAGCCCTTCCAAATTGCTCACCATTAATTATAAAATTAAAAATCAATAAAGTCCTTGAAAAAAATTCATTTATCCGTATATTCAAATTTCTATATCTTTTGATATATACAATATTTTAAATTGCTCAAAGTTCTAAAATACTGCTCAAGTTGCATTTGTAATTGCTCAAGTAGAGTTCTCACCAGCTCCACTTTCCTTAATTATTAAATAAATATAAATAGTTTGAATAAATTTATTTATTTATTATTATAATATTATCTGAAGTGGAATCACGTAATGTGAACAATTCATAAATTCAATAAATTTAAAGAAATCCACCGAGAAACAGAATTAAGACGTTGAATTGGAACGATTGTCCAAGCCCGCCGAGGCCGACCGACAATGCGCGGTGCGCATGCGCACGCTCACTTAACCTACGTTACATTTATTACAACTATACTTTTAATTATTTAATAATCATCGAAAGTGGAGCTGGTAAAAACTCTACTTGAGCAATTACAAATGCAACTTGAGCAGTGTTTTAGAACTTTGAGCAATTTGAAATATTGTATACATCAAAAGATATAGGAGTTTGAATATACAGATAAATTAATTTTTTTTCAAAGACTTTATTGATTTTTAATTAAATAATTAAAGGTGAGCAATTTGAAAGGGCTACGTAGTTAAATTGAGCTATTGAAAATCTATCGATTAGTATTTTTTTCATTGCAAATATCATAAATTTGCAGGCTGGGGTAGGGTAGGTACATTCGTTGTGAAAAGTGTAGTAAAAAAAAGAGATAGAAAATCTTTTGTCGTTTCACTTGACAGTTTACTTGTACTTCTATTTGTAGCATTATTTAAATGAATGAAAATCAGCTATTAATTTTTTCATATTCATGTAGGTAAGTCAGCTATCAATTTTTATAGCATATTAATGAAGTTGTATTTATTTTCTACATTATGTAGTAAAACGAAAAACAATTGCTTCAATCAATGCTCAATTTAAGAATTCCTTTTAGATTTTGATTTTGACATTCACACATTTTTTATGTTAGAGCGCCCTGAATGTAATAGAAGCCATATTTGTTATTCTCATTTCTCAATAAAATTTTATAAATTATCATATATTTTTTTTTTATTTATATATAATACTAGGCTTTATATTTTCAATATTATTTAGAAAAAATATTATTAAAATATGTTTTTAGCGTGCAATATTAACCACAGATGAGTAATAAAAATCGTAACAGTTTATTGTTCTGAAAATTCTGAACGTTCAAGTCAAGAAACTCCCGCGTTTTCTACTTAATGTCAAACTTTAGAAGAACTGTACTTTGCAATGTGATTGTTTTCTTTATCAATTATTGTTTGAAATTTAAATCTATACAGCAACTGAGTAGTTGAGCTGTATACTTGGTTAATTAATCGTTTAAACATGAAAACACAAAAGTCATCAGATAATGAAGAAGTAACGCCTTCGAAAAAAGTTCTTAAACAAGCTCGTCTTCCATTTATGATAATTAGTGATGTATCGCCAAAATCTTCTCCAACTCAAACCAGAAAACGAAAACTTTCCGCTCCAGAATATGAACCAGTTACAAAAGTGGGAAAGATTACTAAGGAAAATGAGTTGGCTGAAGAATCGGTAATAATTAGTGATGATGATAGTAAAGACGCTCCAGAAGCTCAGAACAAAGTCGATAAGCAACTTAACCCATTTGTGAAACTAGTTGATACTGCTAGGAAAAAGAAATTACAAAAATCCAAAGCTGCCAAGAAGAAAAAAAATAGCAAAAGTTCATTGAAAAATAAAAGTAATTGCTCAATGGAAAATAATGAAAACAGTGATAAAAGATCTGAAAGTGTGGAGGAGATGGAAGTTGATGAGACTAAAGAAATAGAAAATACCATATCCAACGAAGTGAAAATCTCAGAAGAAGATATAAAAAATACAAAAACTGAAGATAATACTGTGATTCTGCTAGAAGATTTTAACTGTTCAGAAACAAACTCAGCAACTCATAAATCGGATAGTGTAACAAACCACACTAATTCTGATGAAAAATGTAATGGTGAAACTGAGAACATATCTCAAGAACGTGAACAAAGTAAACCAAAAATAAATAATGAAGATGCGGTTACCCCAAAAAGAAGTGACAGAATTAAATCGAAGAGTGAGGACAAAAATTTGAATACTTCTAAGGAGGATAACTGTGAGGAATCATTTAACTCAAGCCCTTCTACTCCAAGAAGGTCAGCAAGAAATGTGTCAATCTCAAATAGCCAAGAGGATATATCTGTGAATGAATCCAGTAATACTAGTTTAACACCTAAACAAGTAAGTTTGAAAAGATATAATTTACACTGGCACTTAGATATAATGTTCTGAAATTATTATCATTAGATGTTTAATTTCATTAGCAAAACCCAAGTAAGTTGATATGTGTATTTATTCACAGATACAATGAATAGAAACATAAAATATGAATGTATATGTATATATTTGCAAAGCTAGCTTGATAAAAATAATCAGTATTCTATAAGAATGTATTATAATTATAAATGAAATTAAATAATTATATTTACTTTTTCTGACGAGTTAAGTTTTGATGGCCGTTGACGTCTGATCCGTTTTGATGCTTGATTCCAGTAGGTCAAATTTGTTTGCCAATTCACAAATTGTTATTTTTTGTTCTTTTGGATGACATAATTAGATGTTATCAATAAAACGCACTGTGTACGCAAAACAATTCCACGCAGAACACGTTCTAACCTGTCGTAAACGGAACACTAACAGGGCGGAGTGGGAGTGCTGATGCGCGCGGCCGTCAAAAAGAAAAACCGCGTATTTCCGAATTTGCATAAAACGGGGTAGCATAAGTCGGGGGTATTACTGTACTTATTTAGATTTATTTTAGAACTTTTAAGATGTGTAAACTTTTATATATTATATTAAAATAACTTGCCTTTTATACAACAGAAATTGAAATTAAAATAATATGAGCCCTTTCTTTTATAACCATTTTAATTTACTATACTTGTAGTATTTACATTTAATGAGATTTATTTTTTAGCTTCAAAAGAAATTAGAATCTGCAAAAAAGAAAGAAGAAAGGGAAAAAGAGAGACTAGAACGTGAAAAAAAGAGACAGCAAGAAAAAGAAGAAAGGGCTAAACAGAGACAAGAAAAAGAAGACAGAAAAAACGAGAAAGGGAGGAAAAAGAAGAGGCTAGAAGAAAGAAAAAGAAGAAAAAGAGGAACAAAGAAGAAAAGAAAAAGAAGAGAAAGAGAAACAACGAGAATTAGAAAAAAGTAAGTAAACATATTTTATTAAATTTTAAATTTATAAATAGTAGCACAACCTCAAAGCAAATCTATGTGACTCTGCCAAGACGTCCCACTGCCCATAAAGTGAAACAATATTAATTGAAATGTGTATGAGTAATATTACGCTTCTTGCTGCATTGCTTCATTCTTGTGTAAAAGTAGGACTAGCAAACAAAGAAACACTTTATGATTGTTTGTATTGGAGTAATAGACGACATTAAATATAGTGCATTATTAAAAATTTTAAATATTTTATCATAACATTTTTTTTCACAAAATGGTTTTACTAAGAATATTCTTAAATTTATGGTGCTCTCTATTTTAAAATTGTAGAACTCAAGGAAGAAAAAGAAGAACAAAAACGGAAAGAGAGAGAGGAAAAGGAAGAACAAAAAAAGAAAGAGAAAGAAGCTAGGGAAGAGGAGAAAAGAAAAAGGCAAGAAGCTTTAGAACAAGAGAAACTGGAACAGGAACAGAAAAAGAAGAAAGCTGCTGAAGCTTTTGTTAGTTTCTTTGTGCCGAAACAAAAGGGTGATAAAGATCAAGTTACAGTAGGGCCGGTCAGCAAAAACAATTTACTGTCAAGTTTCACATTAAAATCAGATATGAGATTAGCTCCCACAATTAGAGTTAATTTAGATGCTGAAAAACAAAAGACTTTAGACAATCATTTAAAAGAGCAAAATGTTCCAGAAAATGCTTTGTATATTAAAAACTTAAAAAATGGTGTACAAAAGCCTTTAAGTAATGGAAAAACTTGGCCCATGAGTGATAAAGATGATCAAGATGATGTGATGATAATAGGTAAGTAAAGAAACATAATATTTTATTTTATATTTTATTATATACTAGCAACTCATTCTCGCTTCGTCTCTAGGTATTTTTTAACTTTTAGAATGGAGTAAATAGACTCATCATACGTTGTATATTAGTATATACGTAGGTATGAGTTTTATATCCCTTACTTGAGAAATGATTGATTCCCTATATAAACTTTCATCCCTCTTTATATCCCCTAAAGGGATAATTTCCGGAATCCGGGATAAAAACTATCCTATGTCTTTCCTAGGATCTCAAACTATTAGTTAAGCGGATTACAAACTTACAAACTTTACCTCTTTATAATATTAGTATAGAATAGCGACTCACCCTCGCTTCGGGTTCGTTCCTAGACAAACACAAATCTATCCCATGGGAACCTTACATTTTTCAGAGATAAAAGTTACAATATGTACTATTCCAGATATCTTTAATTTATTTCTGTGAATCCGTTCAGCTGTTCTGGCATGAAAGAGTAACAAAGATCCATCTACCCACCTCACAAAGTATCACATTTATAATATAAGTATGAATGTAATGTATTAAAATGATGTATCATAATTATAAAAAAATTACATCAAATTGTTAAAATATCAGTATCATTTAATTGGAATAGTTATAATCTATATCAAATAAATATTGTGGTAAAACATATTCATATAAGTAAAACTTTTGACAACACATTTGGGTCAGTTTGTTGTGACCCAACTAGCTATGCCAGGGGTCGCGAGTTCGAGTTCCGCTAGGGCATTGGCATGTGATTAGCAAGAATGTTTACTCCAGTCATGGGTTACTGTATTTGTAATATGTATGTATTTAAAAATATGTATGTATTTAAACTTATATATGAGTATGTGTAGTGTATCAACTATCTGGTATCCATTTCCCCGTGCCTCAGAGAGCACGTAAAGCCGTCGGTCCTGCGCCTTAACTCTCACTGGTTGTGTCGAGCAGTCGTCCCACCGGAGTATGAGAGTGACAGGAACAGAGAGTGCACGTTGTGTCTGCGCGTACACTTGTGCACTATAATATCTCCTGCGCAGTTGGCTAGTCTCAATAAGATTGGCTGCCGTAGCCGGAATCGGCCAGGAGCATCATCATCATCATCATCATCTATAACACAAGCCTCAACCAGAAGGTGCTGTGTGTTAATGTTCCAAAATATTTATATTTATTTATATTGAATATTATTCTTGCAGAAGATGAACTACCGCCAGTAGATGGCGCAGGAGAAATAATATCCTGTGATACAACAACCCGTGAGAAGCTTCGTCCAAAGCTTCTTGCTTTTCATGAAAATAGACGTCCACCATATTGGGGTACTTGGAGAAAGAAAAGTTCTAGTATTAACCCGAGAAAACCTTTCACTACTGATGAAGTAATTTTTCTTATATTAATTATAGTAATATTGTTCTGCATTTTTACATTCATGGTACTGTTATTTACCTCGTTGGTACATAAACACATATTATAAGGTTTTGGGTTCGAGTCCCGTGGTTTTGGTGAAGAAGATGCAAATGTAAAGGAATATAGTTCTCTTGTGTTTCCTGCACTGCACTATAATACGTCTCGCGTTGTCTAGTCTCTATGAGGCCGCTCTGACCATAATTGATGGATTATATTTAATATGGGATGGGAAGATAAAGAACATATATAATAAAAAAAAGACATTTCTTAAAACAATATAATATATTATCGATTCGATCTTGCTTGATCCAAATATGTGATTTATTGATAGGCTATATGGACTAGGCTTTTGTTATATTGGCTTTTTCTCCTATCCAAATATTTCCCATATAATATTCCCATATTGGATTTCATACAGCACTTTTATCAGTATTAATAATATACCTACATAAATGTATTTTGATATTTTTATTTGATTGTTGTAGTAAATGGAATAAAATAATAAAATAGCCTGCAGGCATTTTAACTTTAAAACATGGCAACTTTAAAACAAAGTCCAAAGAAAATGTGATCTCACATTTAATGAAAAATATTTACATGTATTATATTTTTGTATTAAATATACAGTTAAACTAATTAACAATATATCTGATTTCAGAAACTTCTAGATTATGAAGTGGACAGTGATGAAGAATGGGAAGAAGAACAAGATGGTGAAAGCATAGATGGCAGTGTTGCCAACAGTGATGAAGAACAGGATAATGATGAGTATGAGGTTGATAATGAAGTATTTGTACCACATGGATATTTGAGTGATGAGGTAAATTATATTTAATTATTTATACAGATATGTATAAGAAAAATACTCTTACTTGCCTTTAGTTTTTACCCATGACTCTTTTTGTCTAGTTTATTTATGTATAACTAGCAGGACCCGCGGCTTCGCTCGCCCTAAAACCACAAAAAAAACTGGCTTTATGCAAAAGACATTTTTGAAATGGGCTCAGTATTTTTTTTAGCTTAAAGCACTTATAACTTATTATAAACATCAGTTTTACAATAATGTATGGAAGTCTGCCCAATATGTTAACATTTATGATTGCTGCTCCATTCCCTTGGGTAGTAGCATGATATATAGCCTATAGCCTTCCTCAATAAACGTGCTATCTAATGCAAAAATATCTTTTTAATTGGATTAGTAGTTCCTGAGATTAGCGTGTTCAAACAAACAAACTCTGGCTTGTTATTTGTATAGATTACTCCGATCCTGATGATTGTAGGATGCCATTTCTTAATAAATTGGCTATAAAAACCAAAAAGAATTATTTATTTATAATTAAAATTCAAACAAAAAACTAATTTTATAATATAAGAACACTGGATACAGGAAAATAGTCTGCTTTATTATGTAACTTTTTCTGTTCTACACAAGTTGGCTACTAATTCACTGTCTCAAGTTATCGCAGAAAATATTTCATACTATCTTGGAGTTATGATCGTTTTAAAATAGCAGTTTAAGTTAATTTTAAATGTAAAAATTCTGAGAGGTACAGGAAATTTTCCAGCGGATCTGAAAGCTTGAACTAAATTTAATCGATCCACAGTTCCACTATGGGAAAGCTTACCGTAGACCTGTAGATCGGGTGAATAGGCACTTTGTAATTTGTTTAATATAATGATAATTGTCTTTTATGAAATATATGGACTAAAATCAATTACAGTTAGTTATCCTCCAGCTGTATTTAGCTTGCAATACATGGTTTAATTCTGGGAGAAAATACTGCTTGTGAGACTTAAACTAAGTTCTGCGCTGATGTCAAATGCATTGTTCTCAATGCTGGGGTGTTTAAATCTTTTTTAAAGTTGACTAAATATGCAAATATTTGAGCTGCTTCATACCCACATACTCATTAGAAGCAATGACAGACAAATGATATGACTCTACACATACTAATTTTCTAAATATTGTTATCCTCAGGAAGCAACCATGGATGGAGATGATGTACTATCACTATCACCTGAAACACAAAAAGCTAGGTTAAAGTATTTAGAAGATGAATTCGAATCTGAGTTAAAAAAACCAATGGAAAAATTAAAACCGAGGCTCTATGGCTTGATATGGGAAACAGAGAATGGAAAGCCAGAGAAATGTGTTGATGCATTATGGAACTATTTCGGAAAATTGGCTATGATTATGGATGACCCCACACCATTGTTGCAGCCATCAAATGAAACAGAGGAGCCAGAAAAGAAAAAAGTAAAAAAGAAAAAAGCTCCTGACGGTGAAGAACAGAGTCCTAAAAACGAGAAAAAGAAGAAGAAAGTCGAAGAAAAAGATGGAAAGAAACTTAAAGCTGATAATAAAAAAGTGCCAGAAAAGAAAAATCAACCTGGAATTAATACATTTTTAAAAAAAATAAAGACTTCATAAATTTATTTATTAATGTTTTTAAAATAATTTTAACTATTATATTTAAGTAAACAACTATATATCAAAGTTTTCATTTTAATTAAGGTTTGATACCTAACACATTTGTATTCTATTAATTAAATATTTGTTAAGATTAAAACTGCATTTTCTTTTATAGTAAATCTGTGAAAAAGGGATTGATATTAATTATTCATTTTCCTAACATTTGAATATGATGTTTTAAAAATAAATATACTGAAAATACATTGTGTTAGTACATACTGACTGGTGGCTTAAAGACTATATAATTTATCATACACTAAAACACTTCTTTCTACATTTGAGTATATTTAGGTACATGTATTTTGTAAATATTAACATTACATTTTTGTTTTTCTCCCCTAAATGCGGTAATTGATTTTTAGACAAATGTTATTTGTTAATTTATATAATTTCATTACTCGCAGATTTTTACATGTAAAAAGGAAACTGAAAATGACGCACAATTTTTGAATATATACATAAATCATAAGAGCTAAGAATTTTATTTCTATAATCCCATTAATATTAAAATATAAGAACATAAAAATATCTCTCATTCATTCGTTTAAATATTGTCTAATAATATTTTAAATGAATGTATGTAGAATGAACGAATGAAAAACATTTGAAACGTCAATACAAATGTCAAGACTCAAGATATCATTATGTATAAAACGTTCAATTCAACGATTATCCGGTCGTAGTCGTACACTACACAGAATAATTTACATTGGTGATTGGGTGTTAGCGAATCTATCTGTGTTTTAATTTACATTTTTATATAAAGTGAATCACTAGTGCAGTGTTTTGGACTTTGGTAGTGAGTTTTATTTGTCATCCATGGTAGTGAGTGAGGAGTCAATTATCCGATTAAATGCCTTGATAAAGGTTTCGTAAAGATGAGTAAAATGTCGAAGAATAAATTAAACTTGACCCTCCCACCGGGTTCTATAGACACGGCTCCGGCTATAACTCCGTCTAATATGACCCCTCAGCTGAAATCTGCAACAGCTTCAGAGTAAGTAAAATTAAGGATTTTAATGCTGTGATTCTCTTTTTGTGTATTTATAATAAAGTTCATGTAGTTATCTAATGTATCAATCATGAATCATTCAAAATTTTTATTCCAATTATTTACTATTTTGAAATTTATGGAGCTATTCTAATAAATAGATTATGATATATTAATTATTGTTTTTAAGAATTCTTTAACAAAACCTTCTTTATTATGTAACTTAAAATGCAAAGTATTAATCTTTCTTTACTGTTTATTTCAAAATTGAACAAGTTTTTACTATCAGTAGAAGACAATGTTCTTTAAATTATCTAAAGGTTAAATTTAAATTAGCAAATCTTCATAAGTCACATTAATGGCTTGTATATTTAGTGTTATATTTTATTTTCTTTGTCATTGTGATATTTTATGGAACTTCTTTTCGAACAACTTCTATGGCTGCTATAATTATAAAGTTCATGTAGTTATTTAATGTATCAATCATGAATCATTCAAAATTTTTATTCCAATTATTTACTATTTTGAAATTAATGGAGCTATTCTAATAAATAGATTATGATATATTAATTATTGTTTTTGAGAATTCTTTAACAAAACCTTCTTTATTATGTAATTTAAAATGCAAAGTATTAATCTTTCTTTAAGTACTGTTTATTTCAAAATTGAACAAGTTTTTATTATCAGTAGAAGACAATGTTCTCTAAATTATCTAAAGGTTAAATTTAAATTAGCAAATCTTCATAAGTCACATTAATGGCTTGTATATTTAGTGTTATATTTTATTTTGTTTGTCATTGTGATATTTTATAGAACTTCTTTTCGAACAACTTCTATGGCTGCTATATTTATACAAGAGTTTCATTTAACAATTACACATGTTTTAATTTATGAAAAATGTCTTACTATTTATAATTTGCATTCAGGCGGCAGGGTTTAGCAGGGAAGTCAAAGACTAGTATTGAAGCCCTCACAGAAAGACTAGAGCAAATTGAAATGGATGATACTCAACGACGTAGGATAGAAGTGTTTCTCTGTCAGAAAGAAAAAATTGGAGAGCTTAGTGATGATGACTTTGAGAAGTTAGGAGAATTAGGTATGCTGATAAAATATGCTGTAGGATTCATATTATTTTAATGAACATGCCTGTCATTTTTCTATATATTTTTTATATATTTTTATTATTTAGCCATATTAAAAAAAAATAGTAACGGCATGTCTGATTTCAAATATGTCTTTTATTTCTATTTTATAATAACTACATCAACTGCTATTTTGTTAATAATTTAATATTGTGTTGATTTGAAGACAGTTAAATTAAGTTACTTTTTTATCACCTTAACTTGTTATTCTTTTCTTAACAATTTTGTATAAAAGATGACAAATAAATATTTTTATAATTATAGGTCAAGGTAATGGTGGAGTAGTAATGAAAGTTCGACACAAGTCCACAGGCCTCATAATGGCTAGAAAGCTCATTCATTTGGAAGTAAAACCTGCCATAAAGAAACAGATTATAAGAGAACTAAAAGTGCTTCATGAATGCAATTTTGCTCATATTGTGGGTTTCTATGGGGCATTTTATAGTGATGGGGAAATTTCAATTTGTATGGAATATATGGATGGTGGATCATTAGATTTGATACTAAAGAAGGCTGGAAGAATTCCTGAGTCAATTTTAGGTATGTTTGTTTATATTATAAATAAATGTTTGTATTATTTATATTTTATGTTATCTTTTCTATTTGCGATTAATCTTCAATAGAATGTGTTTGTTGTGGATGGATTATCGACAAAATTTGTTTGTGTGTCTTCTCCATTCTACACAACATTGGCCAAGTAAATTGTGCCCAAATAACACTCCTAGAAGCTACGAAACTAAAGAATTGAATTGAATCTTTGAACATGATTCTATATTATAAGATAGATAATTTTATTAAGTACCCATTAGAATTAGAAGAAAATTGTACATCAGATCATAGATGGCTTGTTTATTAAGGAAAAGTTATTAAGGAAATTTAATGCTGTGTATAAATTTATGTTTATCTGTCTTTTTTATTATGTCACTCGAGCACAAAAGCATAGATTGCTTTTTATTTTAATAGTTGAAATATAAGAAATATCATTTTTTTTTATTTTAGTCTTCCAGGCCAGATAATATTATTGTTAAATATTGATATATTACAGGAACAATAACATCAGCAGTGCTCAAAGGTCTAAGCTACTTGCGTGACAAGCATGCAATAATGCATAGGGATGTGAAGCCATCTAATATCTTGGTGAACAGCAATGGAGAGATCAAAATATGTGATTTTGGTGTATCTGGACAGTTAATTGATTCTATGGCTAATTCTTTTGTTGGCACTAGAAGTTATATGTCGGTAAGTAACTATGTAATACTAATGAATTACACTTGTTTAACAACTCGGGTGCATCCCTAGGTGTTTTAATTTTTTTGAGTTGAGCCCTATTTCGCTTTCTAAAATAAAAGTAGCCAATGTTACTTCTTATAATATCAGCTATCCGCTAGTGACAGTTATGTCAAAATCAGTTGACCTTTTTCGGAGATTTGCTGGATAAAAACAGACAGAGAGGGAAAAAAAATTTTAAATCCTTTATTTTTCTTATAAATGTCATACAAATCCATATGCATTTAGTAAAAAGCTATTATTTTGATATTACAAACAGACACTTCAATTTTATTTATCTGTATAAATTGGCTTTAACCTGTTAGCGACTGCCCAGCCACGGGTGGCTCGGTTAACAATTGATTTCTTAGAAATTCACCACAGGTGTTAATAATATAATGAAATTAATTCAATTCAAAATATAATATTATTTTATACAAATAGATTTTACAAGCCTTTTTAAATTGTCCAATCTTTGTACAAGAAATGTCTTGGCTTCTTTGAGTATGGTCAAAAAAATGGCATTGAAATCTAGCTAGTTATATAGTGCTTTTTATTGTCTATCATTTTTAAAATAACATAGTAGAGGCAATTGCATTGTAATGATTTCCTACATGATTATAGCTTTACAGTAAGACAGGAAGAATTTTTTTTTCTTATAATAAGTTAAAGGAAGTTATTTTCTTTATACAATGACTGCTATACCTTTGCCTAAAAGCCTAACAGCCTTACTTTTGTCTGAATTCGTCCAGAATTTTCAATGTGGAGGAGTAACAAAAATAAACACATACAAACTTAGTCATAATATCAATAATTATCCAAATAATTGAATTAATTTAATCTCTCGCGAAAAATCTCGCAAAACCAGTTAAATAGCTATCTATGGAATAATTCATAAGGCTTTAATCAAAAAGCTAGCAATGTAATATGTGATTTACCAATTCACCGATGGTTAATAAAATATTTTCTTTAAACAGTGTCTTCTTTTTAACCGATTTCCAAAAAGAAGGAGGTTTTGAATTCCTTGAGATGGTTGTTTTTTTTTGATTTGGAATTTTTTTTTTGTTTCAAAGGTTATACTTCCCAGGTGGTCTATTTTACTCTTATCGAATCTCTCTTATCGGTCGAGCGGTTTTAAAAAAATCAACAAATAAATTATTTTTTTAAATAAATTGCTTAATCAAATATGTTATTAAAAAACTTTCTTCTTACAAATTACCTGCTTATTACGTCTACACTAAAAATGCAAAAATAAAAACTTTTTAACACAATAAAACACATATTTCAATGTTTTCAGGAAGTGCTATATTAATCAAGTGTTAGGCTAAGGCAGGGAATATTCTTTGTATTCAATATTATGCCTATTTATACACTAAATCTACTTAGTCTACTTTAGTCAAAAAAAATTATTACTGGTGGGTATACTGATTTTTTTTTATTTATTCCTTTTTTTGTTTTCAGCCTGAGCGTCTCCAGGGCACGCATTATTCCGTGCAATCAGATATTTGGTCTCTCGGCTTATCGCTGGTAGAAATGGCGATCGGAATGTATCCCATACCGCCTCCTGATCCGAAGACATTAGCTGCCATTTTCGGCGGGCAAAATGAAGATCATTCACCGGGACAAGTGAGTATTTTTTTTTAAATTCTAAGTCAATAAACTTTGGCAGACAATGAATCCATTTGCGCATCTCATTAATGATCAATAGTGATGTAACTAATAATAATTACTCAGATTTACGCGAATATTTGACATTTTATATAAACGGGAGAGACTCCCGTGCCCACGAATATATACATATATGTATGTATGTATGTTTATATATATATATATATATATAAACATACATATATTTATTGCGGGTATTATAAAACAAAATTAAAATTATTAATTTAATTTTGTGTCCCAACAATTATTATAAAGTAAAACAATTCTTCTTTCAAACGTAGTTGTCAATTTGTGCCCACGAATATATACATATATGTATGTATGTATGTTTATATATATATATATATATATATATATATAAACATACATATATTTATTGCGGGTATTATAAAACAAAATTAAAATTATTAATTTAATTTTGTGTCCCAACAATTATTATAAAGTAAAACAATTCTTCTTTCAAACGTAGTTGTCAATTTTAACGAAACTATGATTATAGTAGGGGAGCCCAAGAGGGGATTTTCTGTAGTTACTCGAGCGCGGCAGATTAACATAAAAGAGGTTACCTTGCACTCTATTGAGTACTTTCACCATAATATAAGTCTTCTATATAAAGGGGCGCGTCTAGGGAAGCCGATTAAAATATTTAAAAAATGTTTTGATAAGGTAGAAATACTTGAAACCGTCAGATTAAGGTGTGGTAGGCTAGTCACATCCTGAAAAGTGTCCAATTCAATAATCTGCCGATTTGCACAAGACGAAGAGGCAAAAATCGACTATAAAGTTTTTGATGATTTTTGCCTCTTAGGCTTGTGCAAATCGGCAGATTATTGAATTGGACACTTTTCAGGATGTGACTAGCCTACCACACCTTAATCTGACGGTTTCAAGTATTTCTACCTTATCAAAACATTTTTTAAATATTTTAATCGGCTTCCCTAGACGCGCCCCTTTATATAGAAGACTTATATTATGGTGAAAGTACTCAATAGAGTGCAAGGTAACCTCTTTTATGTTAATCTGCCGCGCTCGAGTAACTACAGAAAATCCCCTCTTGGGCTCCCCTACTATTATAAATTTCTACTTGCGATTTTGTTTATTTTATTCTAAGTATAGATAAAGATTAAAATCTATTTTCAGGCACCAAATTCACCACGACCGATGGCAATATTCGAACTACTCGACTACATCGTGAACGAGCCGCCCCCCGAACTGCCCCCGGGGATATTCTCAGATGAATTCAAAGACTTCGTCGATAGATGTCTTAAGAAGAATCCCGATGAGAGAGCCGATTTGAAAACTCTTATGGTATTGTATAGATGGTTTATTTTGTGTTTTCTCTATCTGGTATTTCTCTTTTTATGCTGGAAACAAAAAAAAACATGATTGCCAAGGTTTCAAATAACATAAGTTTTACTCACTTATAAATATCATCTCTATTTTCAACCACTTAAGTGGTGATTTCCGGGATAAAAACTACCCTATGTCCTTCCCAAAGTCTCAAACTATCTTCTTACCAAATTTCATCTAAATCGGTTCAGTAGTTTCACAGCGTATTCGGTACAAACAAACAAGCAAATTTTTTCTCTTTATAATATTAGGATAGATACAAATAATCTACAAGTTAATACATAAATGTCTACATACATATCCAAAGATACAAATGAAAGCGTTTATAACACACTAACTGTTTATTCTATTAAAATTACGAAACACAACGTTTACGCGTATTGTAGTGCCGCCATTGTGACACAACATCTTTCTTTTCTATCATTCCATTCCATTCTTAAAATCAAATCATATTCACGCATACTCATCTCGCAAATCTCCTATAAGCTTGCATGAGAGTCGCTAGTGTTGTATATAAAAGTAATTAACTTTGAACTAACTATAAAGATACAAAAGCGTTATTATTTTTAATTATGGGCACACTCATGTACACATACATACACGTACACACGCAGACACACGTAAAATATTAATACTAGCATCGTATAGCAGTTAGATAGATAACAATACTAAAAAAGGGATATTGTTCATCATCTCCTTGCCCATTTCCCAATCGCTTGGTGTCGGCGCAGTACATCTGCTGTACTGCTGATAGGATTTGGCAAAAGTTTTACGATCGGCCACCTGCTTGAGATACACCCTCCTTGGAAATTATAAATGTGATTTAGCTATTAAATAAATAAAATTCCCACAACAGAACCACGAATGGATCCGTCAAGCGGACGCAGAGAAGGCGGACATAGCGGGATGGGTGTGCAAGACGATGGACCTGATGCCCTCAACGCCTAACTCCAATGTGTCTCCTTTTTCTTCATAAGCTGCAAGAAGTGCATACTTTCATCAGCGAAAAAGGGTGAGGTTTTGTGGATGTTGAACTAGACTCTGTTTGGGGGTTTGTTTGGGCGAATTTGAACAACTTTGAACAACACTATAGTTTGTCCATTTTATTAATCGTTTTTTGACAGCTCGATGACTGACAAGTTATAGTGATGTCCTAAAGGACGTAATAATCGATATCGCTTATATATCTATAAGAAATATAATATAATATTTATTTTCATATTTATTGATATGGAATTATGAAATTAATATTATAATCATAAAAATTATATATACGTCAACTGGCACCATCAACCGACCGTCCGTCCGGCCGCCATTTTGACGTAGTCTGTCACTTGTTTGTCTTTTTTCTTTTTTTCTTCTCTGTTTCAACCTTAAAATTTTGTTGTTTACATATTATTTACATATTAGCATTTATTTCTACCGATTATTTGTAATCTGTGGCACAATCTTAGTAATCGTTATGTGTGGCACATCAATAAGGGGGCGGTACCCGTCCATGAAGTAAAATATTGTATTCAGCCCTTTTTAACGTCCCACTGGTGGGCACAGGCCTCCCTTCAATACGAGGGGGATCAGGCCATAGTCCACCACGCTGGCCAAGTGCGGATTGGCGGACTTCACATGTCTTTCGAAAACTTGCTAAGTTCTCTCAGACATGCAGGTATCCTCACGATGTTTTCCTTCACCGTAAGGCAAATGGTAATCATGTTAGAAATGATTCGCACATGAAAATATCAGAGGTGCGAGACACTCGGTTTTTCAAGAATTTCATTATTTGAATGAAATTTTAACTTAAACAATACGAAACTCCATGGGCGTGAGCTATCAAAAACTATTAATAAAATGGACAAACTAAAGTTATAATAAATATTATATACCTACTAAAACAAATCTATCCCTCGGGAACCGTATATTTTCCGGGACAAAAAGTAGCATATGTGTTATTCCAGACTATAATCTATCTCTGTGCCAAATTTCATCCAGATTCGTTCAGCCGTTCTGGCGTGAAAGAGTAACAAACATCCGTACATATTCACAAACTTCACATTTATAATATTTACACAGATTATAATGACCAGCAATTTTTGCGAAACTATATTTAAACTATATATTGCGAAACGTCAGGAACCAAAAATCAAAATAAATCCGCAAAATAATCCGAAAAGATAGTTTTATTTAAAATGTCAAATATTCGCGTAAATCTAAGAAAGTAATGTAAAAATTCTTTTACTACACATACACACAGACAAACTTTTATAATAATCGTATGTAGAAAACTTTATAATTCATATAATATTATTGTAATTTCTAGGTCAAAACATTTCCCAAGAGAAAGCTAGCGAGACAATCAGTGAGGATACTGATGCGGAATAGCGCCACGAAACGGGATGTCAACTCTAACCATTACCGACCTAACAGAGACGTGATAATTGTATCATATATGTTAATTATTAATTATATTATTTAATATTCATAATTATTTATTAACCGAGAAAATACGCCGACTTCAAAATTAACTTTAAAGTCATATGATCATGTATAGTAATACTATAGTAATACCTTTTTAATGGGTAGTGTGTTTTGGAATCTATATGGGATGCCATATACCTATAGAAAATAATCATCATTATCGACTCACAATCAGTGAAGATATCATACATATCATATACAGCAAAAATAAAACTTGTGTTGTGTGTACCTCTTTTTTTGAAGTCGGTTAATAATGTTATTGAATTATTAATGAAAATTGTTTTTAAATAGCTCATATCTGTATTGGCCACCAAATGTACTATTAGTATTGGTAGATGTAGTTGAGGCCATGTTGATACAGAGTGTTGGTTTCGAGAAATATTTTTATTATATATTTTTAATTTTAATTTTTAATTAAATCAATTGATTATTTAAAAAAAACAAATATTACAATCATTTTTGAAAGATTATTGTCATGAAATAATATAATAATTACACTTATGTACATTATTATAATGTTAAATGTTGGTAATTTTTATGTATACAATTTTATTTAAGATGTTCAGTTTTGATAAGATTATATTTTATATTGTAAACGTTACTGATTTTAGATCTCATAAAAATATGCGTATAAATTAATTTGTGTAAAATTTTCATTTTATTGTTATTTAAGTACATTATTCGGATACATTTAAGTGTTATTATTATTAAATGTAATTTTTTATATGAATTCAACATGATTGTGATATGTACGCGTGTTTTATATTATGTTTTAAAAATATTTTCCTTAATCTTAAATCAGAAATATTTATCACATAAAATCACGTCTCTACTCCAGTAATTCCTAATAGAAAACATACTGTCCTTTGGGAAATATGTGATTATGTGAAAAAAATAACATTTACTTTTAGAGATTGGCTAATTAAGGTTTTTCGTAGTGGTACAGTAAAACAACGCAGGGTTTTTATAATCTATAGACACCTATACATCGATTTCTTATCATATACAGGCTATATGATATTAAGAAATTTAAAATGTACACGTGTCTTAAGATTCTTATAGGTATGACTAAAACATAGTGCATTCGGAAACTAAATAATGGAGGGTTTTTCGAAGACTACTAATCGATTAATGGTCAAGTAGAGTTGATTTCACTAGTCGCAAGTCGAAAAAAAAAATGTTAGTAGTGTTTTGACATATTTTTCTTTGCTGAAAGTGCGTAATTCATGTCAGCTGATACTTGTTATTTAAATAGATAAATATTCCGAGCGTTGGAATACTCAAATGGTCGAACAAACTTCGGCCATGGGAGCGTTCCAAAGCTCAACAAAAAAAAAATCATCTAGTAACCTGTAAAATAGAAAACATTTTTTAGATTACACAAAAAAAAATATAAAAAATAAAAAATAAATACGTAGATATCGGAACTTTATTATATTTGACGTGATGCACTTATCCCGTTTGGTTTTTTCGCTTCGTTTTAGTCCCACCTTTCTTACCGAGCACTTAGATTAGGCATTCGCTATCGCAATGAAGTCGGATGAACGATTCTCATCATTCTCTCAATAATATATAATCTACAAAAGTGTAGAACGGAAGTGAATGAAAGAGACTCGTGTCATAATAGCATTGAACGAATGAATGGAATGTTCTAAATTTGAATTTTATCTTAGCGCTTCCATACGTCAGTTCTATAACTTCACAATGCACATTTCCCGCGTTTTTTCAATGTTTTATCGCTTGGTGGTCGCTATGTTTTGCCCAGTCTTCCTGTTGTTGTAGAGCGTTAGTGGTGTTTTGTGATTTTTGCATGCTAGTTCGTGGAGTGTTTTGGCTTTTATCTAAAGCATTTAATACGTTTTTTACGCAAAAAAAAATATATTTATAAGTATTCATAGTTAGTTTTATACTAAACTTTATACGTTGTGATTACATGTTTTTGTAATATTCTGCACATAATTGTTGGTTTTTGCCAATGTTATATGAAGATATAATGTTATAGAGATCACGCTTTATAGTAAAGGTCTTCGTTTCACAATCGAGTGAATATGCAATAGAAGATGAAAATATACATTAGAACAGTGAATGGGAATAACGAATAATTTGTTCAAATATATTAAAATAGTAAGTTGCTTTATTAGATAGTTATTTCAAATATTCTAAATGTATATTGTGATCATGTATGTTGTATAACTTTATTGTATTTTGAACTGAATGTTTGGATAAAAGTTCTTGAGAATAGGTCTGTTGGTGGCATTTATTTAATGAAATTAATTATATATCAGTGATAGTGAGATATGTAATGAAAAGAAACAGTATCGATAAGACCTCATTTTCGCCCTAGAAGAAGAAAAATAAAATTAAATAGGGTTGTGTCGAGGCATATCGCCTTTGTTTTAACATAAAATGTCTGTTACACCGAGTTGCTGTTAAAGATTGGGATGAAGATAAAATTGAATTCGTTCTAATTGTTTTAATAATGACACGGAATAGGTAGTTTGTATTATAAAGTTGTTTTTATTAATATTGGACATCAATTTAGTCTAACTGGAATTTTCGTTCAAACTCTGTCAATTTCAGTAATATTTCAACGTTTTTTTTTTATATAGAGCACATATAAGAAACACTTTTTTTTTTTTTTTTTTTTTTTTTTTTTTTTTTTTTTTTTTTTTTTTTTTTTTTTTTATAGTATTCTGAATTAGTGCTTGACTACGTTCCACCTGATGGTAAGTGGTAACGCAGTCGTAGATGGTAAGTCGCACTAATTCAGTAGCCACCTATTCACTCTTGCCTTGAAGACACCCATGTTGTAATCGGACGGAAACACCGACGCCGGCAGGTTGTTCCAATCCTTAGCCGCACGTATAATGAATGACGTAGCGAAACGCTTCGTCCGGACGGGTGGAATGTCCACGACATAAGGATGGAGACCAGCCGTTTGTCGGGTTGTCCGATGGTAGAAAGGAGATGGAGGAATCAAGCCGTGTAGTTCCTGCGCACACTCTCCGAAATGTAACCTATAGAATACACAAAGGCTGGCAACCCTACGTCGGTGATCGAGGCTTTGTAAGTTAGCTTTTACCAGCTTTTTATATTATTTTAATGTTTTTATGTTGTTTCACAATATGTATATTTAAAAATTACAGTGCTTCCATCCTGTTTTAGTGTAGTGTATTTTTTTCGTTATTCTGTGGCGAAAATGAGCCGCCGTCATCGATACTTTCTTTTTATTCCTTTGATAATAATAAATCGTTTTTTTATGATTAGTATGTTAGAAATGTTACGTGTAAATTATTTTTTTTAGTTCAATTTAGTGGCTTAATTTAATATACACATTCACAGTGTATATTTTATTATTTTTGTATCAAAATGTAGTAACGACAAATTTTTTACTTAAATTGTTATGGATTCCACATTAAAGTAGACATTTTTTTAAATATTTATAATTAACTTAACAATGTTTTCTAATAACATTGATTGATAGCATAAAGAGACAGTTATTTTTAATTCTTTATATTTTAGTTTGTATAGCATATTATGTGAAGGATTTTGAATGATATAAGATCAATGTGTGTTTACGAAGAGTGAACTTTATTATTGAAATGTCAACATACGCATAGTGTTGTAATCAATAAAAAACATGTAATTAAAATTTGACAACTAATATTAATTTTTTTATAGATATTCTATGTGACATGATTCTAAATTTTAAAATAAAAACGTCATATAAACAAATAATAACTTTGAATAGCATTGTAATTGTATCAAACTATTAGCGATTACCATAGTTTTGCTCGGATGCGACTCTAGCAATTTAGAAACGTACATTCCAATTTTGCCTAATTATTAAGGGTTTTCGATTTTCGTACTGGAACTCTAGATATTTTCGGAATAAAACGTATTCTATATGTAACCTTCTTAGTAAAAGTCCAATTAGAATCGGATAAGCCGTTCTAAATATTACCCCAGAAAAGCAGAATGATGGAAAGAAATATTTAAACAAGGGTTGTTTAGATAATGGTATCGTATAAATAACTCTTTTGTACTTTAGAAAACATAGTTATTTTGAAATCAAAGACAGACACTTCAATTTTATTTATATGTATACATAAACTCAATTCTCTCTAAGTCCTACATACCTAACCATTTTCATTTTTCAGATCCACGTTTCGTACATATAACAAATTACCCGTTATTTAATACGTCATACCGTTTTTCAAAACAAATCTATAGCCATGAAACCGATAAAATCATATTTCTATAAATAAACTATGTTATATAGAATATTTATAAGCTACATGAACTATGTAATTAAAGTATTTATTAAGAAAGTTAATTCCTTTTGCATAAAACTATTTTTCGGATTTTATAAAAAAAAAATTATAAGGCCGGAGTACCTTATAATTTTTTTTTGTTATTACACTTTCCAAATCATTGCATAATTTTTTGTGTAAATACCGTAGTAGAAGAAGGTTTTTGACGTCTCAAGTCATAGTGACTTGAGACGTCAAAAACCTTCTTATTCATAGACCTAGAGAATGGACAAGCCATACTGTCATGAAATTGACTACTTTCTAGAAAGAGAGGAAGCGAACGTGCGACTAATACCTGTTTTTTATTCCAGTTTGAATTTATAAATGGAATGTAAAAATTGTTATAAATATGTATCTTCATTAATCGTATTTCAATTAATACAGAAGACTGGCCGCACATTCGTTATGTCTCTGTCGTTTTTCCGCCATTTTCAGCTGACTACTGGCCAGCCCTGGATTTACACTAGGGGCACTCGGGGCTAGTGCCCAGGGCGGCAAATTTTTAGGGGCGGCAAAATTCAGAGGGTGGGAAAAAATTTTCCTCGTGTAATCGA